CTCTCTCTCTCTCTGTGTGTGTCTGTCTATCTGTCTATCTATGTCTATGTCTATCTATGTCTATGTCTATCTACCAATCTATTTATCTATCTATCTATCTATCTATGTATATATCTATCTACCTGTATATTCTCATCAGATCTAATGAAATCTAATTTAATCGAATCTCTATCTATCTAGTCTGTCCATCCCATCTCATCCCATCCCATCCCTCTATCTATCTATCTATCTATCTATCTATCTATCTATCTATCTATCTATCTATCTAATCCATCCATCCATCCATCCATATACCTACCTACCTACCTACCTACCTACCTACCTACCTAATCTTACGTTGTCTTATATCTATCATTCTTAAAGGGAACTTAGCCTTCTCATGCACGTCATCAGCTGGAGGGCTGCCTGAGGATAGGGATCTGAACTGAAATACCTGCCTTCCGGGATGCCCAAACACTAACGGAAATGGTGAGGGGTAGTTTTAAGACTGCTGCTTCGACTACTACTTCGAGACCAAGACGGGTTAGTGTTGTTTTTCTCTGAGATCGAAAAGAAGAAAAATGGTCAACGGTCATCTGCGTGTCCCCAACCCAAACATAGCTCCCTCCGTGGGCAGCGGCAGAGGAGGAGGAAAAGCTCCTTGCTGACCGTCATTGCGGCCTCTGGGGGCAGACGGGCTCTTTCTCCTGATAAGTCTCTCCCACCTCCATTCATTCGTGTCCTTCTCGACTATATATATATTTGCGCCTCGTATGTGGCATGCCTGAAAAATTGAGAGTGTGGATGACTGTTAGTGGCGACACTGAGTGAGTGAGTGAGTGAGGGAGGGAGGGAGTGATGAAACCTACCTCCAGCCGTGTCCCATCCTGAGTGAGTGAGTGAGTGAGTGAGTGAGTGAGCAAGCGAGGGAGGGAGTGATGCGCAACCGTGTACCATCCGAATCCCTTCCCCCACTCACTCACTTTAACGGCGTTTGAATTCGAAGGAGACGGACTTCGCGGGCTCGCCCTACTTCCCCCCTCCCCTCCTCCCCCCCCGTTGAAGGAAGTCTTCTCATTTTATTACCAAAAATAGAAGAAAATGAGACCGGGACTTCCGAAACAAACAACCCGGAAACATACTGGGGCCATTCTGGGACCATTACCCAGCTTCGGTGCAAGCATTGGGAATGATGTCGAAGAGCAGAATGGTTCGGTGCAGGCATCGGGAATAATGTGGAAGAGCGGAATGGCGAAATCGGCGGCCTTGACTGTCCACAACCTTGTGCCCGCCCTGCTGACTGTGAGCGTCCCTGCCAGCCAAAAAGCAAAAAAAAAAAAAGAAAACTTTTCAGTCCGTCGATGGTGGTTCTGTGTCCCCATGGGCCTATGGGGAGGGACCGCATCCTCCCATCAGAGAAGGCCCCACCCAGAAACCTCTGGCCTGGCTGGGAACAGCTGCCCCCATGGGCCTACTA